TATTTCTATTTCAGTTTAATCCAAGAGTAGAAGTTATGCTGATTTTTTTTTTTATTTGCTATTTTCTTTCTCTTCAGATTGAAAAGCTTAATGGAATCCAAATCATCTAAGACAAGCAACAAGAAGGATCCTGGTCCTGATGATGTTGAAGTTGAACAAGCTGCACGGAGTTCAAGGGGTAAAAGGGCATTAGTTGAAAGACAAGGTTTTCCCAAGGCAAAGAAAACTAAGAGTCTAAAGGAGCTATACCTGCAGAAACTAGTAGAAGTTGGGGATATGAGGAAAAAACAAAATGAACCTGATTGCAACAGTGGTGATGATGCTGATGATGTTAAAGTTGAACAAGCTAAACGGAATTCAAGGGGTAAAAGGGCATTACCTGCAATACCAGGTTCTTCTAAGACAAAGAAAACTGAGAGTCCAATGAATCCATCCTTGCAGAAACCAGGAGAAAGAACAATTCAGTTGAAAAACCATCAAGAAAAATGGGCAAAGACTAATGAAGATGAGAATACTTATGATGCTGCTGGATCCTCTGGTGGCCCCACTGGCCAGTCCTTCCCACACAATGAAGAGGTTTAACTTTACTTTGATCCCACTTTTATGTAGTTTCTTATGGGACATGTCACATGGGTGATGCATGTTTTATGTTTATGTTGGCTAGCTTATCGTGGCTATGGATCAGAGTAGTGCACAGGAAAAGCTTAGCGCAAGAATAACAATAATTAGATAAGCTAAAGCATGAGTTTGGAATCACATATGGCTATAAATATACATAAGTTCTTGAAAGAGAACACAGTCTAGTTAAGTTGGCTTTGTCATGACTGAAATAGCTAAAAATTTTCAGCATCAAACAATTAAAAGTTCAACAAAAAACTGAATGTAGCTAGAAAGTAGATGTGCATAAAGTGTTTACAAACAGATATAATAAAGCTTAATTAGATACAAAAGGGTTACTAAATAATGGAGCCAAATTCAAGTTTTGGCAAAATATGCAGGTTTGCATTACTAATCTGGACTAGTAGGATCGATGTCAACTACACTTGACACACCTCTTAAGCTAGCAAGTGTGAAATGAGAATATGGGATGATATACACAAGGGTGAGCTTGGCTTCAAGCTATAACTGAACCATATATAGTTATTAATCAATTTTACTGCATGCTGAAAGCAATCTACTGAATTTAGAAGAGCAATAGAAATGCTCATGAGAAATTTTGCTTATGTGTAATTTAGATAATTAGCAATACACAGACCAAGCCATGACAGTTAGCTTAAGCATTTCATAATAAAATTAGGAATAAACAGAAGTTAAACATGACATGGTGTACCTCAACAAAATAGGTTATGGGGCATTAGTTATCTTGGGTAATTATTAGTGATTGATTTGGAATGATAGAAATGAGATGATCTCCCATAATGATCGATGGGAGAAAAGCAAAATTTTTGAATTAATTCAGGTCATCAAGTAGCTTGTGTTGTGTGGTTAAAGAAGAAGCTGGAGAGTGTTGCATGTATATGTTTTCCATTAGCGATTGTGTTCATTTTCTGTCCTTGTGTGTAGATGAGACAAAAAGGTTGTTAAAATAACAGATGGTGGGTGTTTGAGACCAAGCAGCTAGCTCTGGAGTTTTACAGGGTAGTTTGAAGTGTATATTCTGTGTTGGAAGAGTTTATTTCTCTACGATATAATAGTTTATTTTGTGGGGAAAAAATGGTTTCATATTAATGATTGAATCTATATTGTTCTGAATGATTGATGTTTACTTGAATTATATTCTTAAAAAATGCTCATCTATTCTGTTTTAATTATACATGCAGTTTCAACTCAAAGATTTCATGGCCTTTTGTGAGATGCCTGTAATTAAGGAACTCTGGGAAGCCTTTAGTGAAGCATACACAGAAACTTCAAAGGTATGATTGACAATCTTTAATTTATGCACTTTCTATCAAAACTAACAGGAGATGGATCAATGATCCATGAAATAATAGCAATTACAAATGAATGCGTAAATATTTAATTTCAAATATTTGCCATTTTTTTTATCTTAATTTGTTTTTGTTTGTCAAATGAAGAGTAAGACAAAGGAAGCACAAGAGTTCATAGGAAAAGCTTAGCGCAAGAATAACAATAATTAGATAATCTAAAGCGTGAGTTTGGAATCACATATAACTATAAATATACGTTAAGTTTTTGAAAGAGAACACAGTCTAGTTAAGTTAGCTTTTTCATAACTGAAATAGCTAAAAATTTTCAGCATCAAACAATTAAAGGTTCAACAAAACACTGAATGTAGCTGGAAAGTAGATGTGCATAAAGTGTTTACAAACAGACATAATAAAGCTCAATTAGATACAGCAGGCTTACTAAATAATGGAGCCAAATTCAAGTTTTGGTAAAATATACAGGTTTGCATTACTAATCTGGACTAGTAGGATCGATGTCAGCTACACTTGACACACCTCTTAAGCTAGCAAGTGTGCAATGAGAATATGAGATGATATACACAAGGGTGAGCTTGGCTTCAAGCTATAGCGAAACCATATATAGTTATTAATCAATTTTACTACATGCTGAAAACAATCTACTGAATTTAGAAGAGCAATAGAAATGCTCATGAGAAATTTTGCTTATGCATAATTTAGATAATTAGCAACATACAGACCAAGTCATGACAGTTAGCTTAAGCATTTCTTAATAAAATTAGGCATAAACAGAAGTTAAACATGACATCGTGTACATCAACAAAATAGGTTATGGGGCATTAGTTTTCTTGGTTAATTATTAGTGGTCGATTTGGAATGATAGAAATGAGATGATCTTCCATAATGATCAATGGGAGAAAAGCAGAATTTTTGAATTAATTCAGGTCATCAAGTAGCTTGTGTT